TAATATATATATAAATATATATATATGTGTGTGTGTGTGTGTATAGATAAGTTTCTTCATTTCTTCTTGGTCAAGGTTATTAACACTAGGGCTTGTATCTCTTTTCCATCCCATGACCCTTTCATCCCGGTCCCCTGTCCTGCTGTTTTTATAATTTGGAGCCTATTTCCCTCTCCAATCTAGAGAAACTGGTCACCAGTATGAAATCATCGGGTTGTGAAGAAGATGGCTTACAGACAGACCATAGCTCAGTATATTGATACTCTTGACCAAGAACAAGATATAGGCATAAAGTAGCTGCAGTCGGAGTTGACCCGTATGAGGTGGAGAAAGAAATTATGTCAGACGAAACAGACAAGTTGTCACCGAGAAGTTACTCTGATATTGTTAATTATTTAGTGTAGGGCTGCAACTAATGATTATTTCAATAATCGATTCATCGGCCGATTATTTTTTCGATTAATCGATGAATCGGCAAAAAACCCACAGCGTTTTAATTTCAACCCCTTTATTCCAAAATTGAACATTTGACTGACATATCAATTCGCACAAAAAACAGGTTGCTACTTGACTATTGTGTTAGTAAAATATTGAATAATAAAAAATAAAAGTTAGTCAAATAGCTTAAAAAATAAATACACAAAAATATATGCAAATGTATCTTTATACCTGCACAATATGTAGCTACTTTGTAAAATGTGTCATTGAGGGAGTGTAACCTGGATTAAAAGTGTGGATTATTGTAACCTGGATTAAAAGTGTGGATTATTGTAACCTGGATTAAAAGTGGGGATTATTGTAACCTGGATTAAAAGTGTGGATTATTGTAACCTGGATTAAATGTGTGTCATTGTAGTGAAGCCTTCGTCTTCAACCATCGACAGAGGCCTCATGTCAGTGACGATCATTTAAGGATGTTATCAGTGAAGACAGCTGCTGCTGTGGTGTCCATGATGTCTGTCCATCATGAAGGCTGTTGTTGTTTGTTGTTGTTTTCTGGAATGAGAGAGTAAATATGTATTATAGCATAATTTACAGCAACTCAAGAAATGCCTTGTTTCACTTACAGTGTTAGGTTCAGGCAGAAGTAGCTAAAAGAGCAATTAAACACACACACACACACACACACACACACACACACACACACACACACA